CTGGCTATTGTGGGCGTTTGAGGACTGGACCGATGGATGGGAGCTGCATGTCTACCTCGCAGCTGCTCAATTAAAAACAAAACACGAACCAACTGAGATGTGTGGCCTTTCTGACTCTCCTGTGGTTCAGTCTGTATGCACAGGAATACAAAGCTGTCATCTCACCGACTGTGAACACTCTCACTCCATCTTTGTTTTGAGGAAGGACAGTCAAATCTCCAGGCCAGATAGACTGACCAGCAGCCCGAGGTCGCTGGGGTCCAGGATGCTGCCACATCTTGCCTCGTGCTAGTCCTTTGTTCTCAAATATCTTTCTTGTTTTCATTCATTTTTTTTCCCTAAAAGATTCATTTCTTTATTTGAAAGTCTGATTTACAGAGAGTAGAGCTGGAGATCACTCCCTGGAGGGCTGCAGCAGCCGGAGCTGGGCCAGCACGAAGCCAGGGGCCAGGAGCTTCTTCTAGATCTCCCATGTGGGTATAGGGGCTCAAAACATTTGGGCTATTTTCCACTGCTTTCCTAGGTGCATTAGCAGGGAGCCAAACTGGAAGTAGAGCAGCCAGGCTTAGACTAAGTTGGCACTCATATGGGATGCTGGTGTTACAGACACCTATACATGCTATGCCACAACACTGGCCCATATTCTCTCTTTTAAATGATTTTTTGTTTGTAAAAAGGGTGCCAACTATGGAAGAAAGAATACAAAGACGATACTATGAAAAGCTGACGGAATTTGTCGCGGATATGACCAAAATTTTTGATAACTGTCGCTACTACAATCCAAGTGACTCCCCCTTTTACCAGTGTGCGGAAGTTCTTGAATCCTTCTTTGTACAGAAGTTGAAAGGCTTCAAGGCCAGCAGATTGTGATATCTTTAGTCTGAATTTTTAACTGGAATCTGAACTCGATATTGAGGTCACTCTTTTATTATGCCACGTGATTGCCTAATTCAAAATTGCCCTCCCCCAAGTTGAGATTAGTTAATCCAAGTTTTGATATTAAAAGATGTATAGTGGTGAACCCACCTATTGCAGCAGCCGTATTGAATGCTGTATTTAAAAGCTGTAAACTCCTGGAAAGCCTGTGTTTATCTGCTATTGCAATAAGAAGTGCTTTGAGCCTATATCTGGTAACTGTACAGTCGTTTGGTTTACTAACAAAGGTTTTGAATAAAACTGTGAAACTAGAAAAAAAAAAAGGGTGCCAAACATTATGTATTTCTGATATTTTAAGAGCATAATGATACCTCCCATTCTACCCTCTTTCACTCCAACTCTCCCTTCTTTTCGTGTTTTGATTTTACCATGATATACTTTCAATTTTCTTTATTACCACAAACTTAACCCTTCACTAATACAGATAATCTCATTAAAAAATAATACTTATTTTTACTTGGAAGGGTTAGAGAGCATGAGTAAAAGAGAGAAGCAAAGAGTGAAAGAGAGAAAGATATCTTCCATTTGCTAGTTCATTCCCCAAATAGCTGCAATGGCCAGAGCTAGGCCAGGCTGAAGCCAGGAGCCAGGAGCTTCTTCCGGGTCTCCCATGCAGGTGCAGGGTCCCAAGGCTTTGGGCCGTCCTCTGCTGTTTTCCCAGGCCATAAGCAAGGAGCTGGATGGGAAGTGGAGCAATATGTATTTGATATGGATATGGGATACTATTGCTGTAGGTGTGGAGTTACCCTATTACACCACTGTGCTGGTCCCAGACACTCTCCTCTTAAAGCAGAGTTAACTGCCTGTATGTAATTTACCATTTGAATGCAGTTTCCCACCCTTCCTGCTGCATGTGGGCAGCTGTGTATTCTCACCATGGCCGGGCATTCTGAGAGGGCTGTTGCTTTTGCTGTTTGCTTCCCACTTCAGTTTCTCCTGCTGCCACATTTGTGATCCTAAGTCCTTATGACAGCGCTCCATCCTGGACAAGGGATCTTCCCAACGCTTCATGGAAAACGCATGGTATGATGTGCCTGTATTTCAGAATTGTGTTTTGCAGCCTAATAAACTTGTCTCTTAGTTTCATTTTCCATGAACCTTTTGAAGCATAGCCATTATTTCCCCACAGTATTGTATATTCGAGAGTTCTGTATAGTGAATTACTCCAACGCTAATGGCTTGATAATAACAATATGTATGCGATGTTTCGCGTCACCTCTGGGCATCAAGAATGTGGGAGAAGCTTAGCTGGGTGGTTCTGGCTTTCAGTTTCTGAGAAGGTACAGTTAAGATGTGAATTTATGAGGCCTGTGCTGTGGTATAATGGATAAAACAGCTGCCTTTCACACCAGCATCCCACATGGACTCTGGGTCTAGTCCCAGCTGCTAGACTTCTGATCTAGCTCCCTGTTAATGCACTTTGGGAAAGCAGCCGAAGATGGCCCCAGTGCTTGCAGCTCCTGCCCACACGAGGGAGACGCAGAAGAAGCTCCTGACTTTGTGCTCGTCTAGTCTTGGCCTTTGTGACCTTGTGGAGAGTGAACTAGTGCACAGGCTGTCTGGCTTTCTCTGTTTTCCATCAGTCTCGGGCCCAGCGAGCTGGGCTGCAGGCTGTGTTCTGAGGAAGCTCATGGAGGGTGGCGTTGGTGATTGCCCAGGGGCCTCTGCCCTGAATCTGTGCATTTCTTTTCTCGCATGTAGAAAATTTCATCCACGTTTTGGTCTTCAACCATCTAGATCATGTTCTGAGGACTTGGCCTTTTTTTTTTTGTCTTAAAAAGATCTAAGGCCAGATGTGGATAACATGAAAGCTTTGATGTCATTTAATGGGAGAAGTCCCTCTGAAAACGTAGATTCTCTATGGCCTGTCACATGCTTAACCCAGATAGTTTTATGATGAGACATGAAAGAAAACGTGTAGCCTTCAGAAAGGCAAGGATTGAATTTTAGAATTCTAATTCCTAAGTTGAATTTTCTCTATAACCTGCAGCATCTCTGAGAAAATTCTAATGATGGGAAGAGAAAGAACCCTGCTCAAAAAAACAGATAAACAGAATGGTCCTTAACTTTAAGGAAAAATGAGCGGTTTTGATAGTTTTCATTGTAATGAGAACATGAATTGTTTATTTTGAAGAACATAATCAGCTTTGATCGTGCAGTTATGGGTATTCAGTAAAGATGGCTAATTTTAAGGTATGTTTAATTTTTTTCTTAAAAATACTTTTATTTATACTGCCTTTTTCATATCTTTCCTTTTTTGAATTTAATTTTTAATTTCTGAATGTTCTGGTACAATTCCATAGCGTCTGGGATTCCTTCCCCCAAATTCCCACCCCTGACTGATTCTCCCAGTATTGTTTCAATAGTGTAGTCCTTCATCACAGAGGCATGATTCCATCAGTCTTTTAGGTGTGCCCCGACGCTGCTCATATCTTTTTTTTTTTTTTTTAAGATTTATATATTTTTGGGTCCGGTGGCGTGGCCTAGTGACTAAAGTCCTTGCCTTGAACACACTGGGATCCCATATGGGCACCGGTTCTAATCCTGGCAGCTCCATTTCCCATTCAGCTCCCTGCTTGTGGCCCGGGAAAGCAGTCGAGGACGGCTCAAAGCCTTGGGACCCTGCACCTGCGAGGGAGACCCGGAAGAGGCTCCTGGCTTTGGATCGGCATAGCATCGGCTGTTGCGCTCACTTGGGGAGTGAATTATCGGACGGAAGATCTTCCTCTCTGTCTCTCATTTCTGTGTATCTGACTTTCCAATAAAAATAAGTAAATCTTTAAAAAAATTATTTAAAAAAAAGATTTATTTATTTTTATTTCAAAGTCAGATATACAGAGAGGAGGACAGACAGAGAGGAAGATCTATTGGATGATTCACTCTCCAAGCGGCCTTAACAGCTGGAGCTGAGCCAATCCGAAGCCAAGAATGAGGAGATTCTTCCAGGTCTCCCACGCAGGTGCAGGGTCCCAAGGCTTTGGGCTGTCCTCAACTGCTTTCCCAGGTCACAGACAAGGAGCTGGATGGGAAGTGGAGCTGCCGGGATTAGAACTGTCACTCAGATGGGATCACGGGATGTGCAAGGCGAGGACTTTAGCCACTAGGCCACCACGCCATGCCCGCTCATTTCTTTTCTAATGCTTAACATCTGAAGTATGCAGGCTTTTCCTGCAATTTCTGTGAATTGTGCAAAGAAAAAGAAACAATATAAGCATTGAAAAATATTTTTAATTGAAAATCATTTATATTTTTATTTAAACTCTTCTCAGCACTTTCTGTTGATACCTAATAAGTTTTAAGATGTACATATTCCATTCAGACTGATGTTATAAACTAGGTAGTTTAGGAACAATGGAAATTTACTTCTCGTGGTTCTGGAGCCTGAGAAATCCAAGACTGAGGCCTGGGGAATTTTGTGTTTGGGTGGGACACGGCTTCTGGTTCATAGGAGACAGCTTCGTCTTGCGTGAAAAGGGAAAGGAATTCCTGGGGTGGTTTTATCAAGGCGTTCTTACTCCTGAGGGCTCTGCCTTCACGATGCTGTCTCCTACAGCGCCATCATGGGTGAGTGGGTTGCCAGCCGTGGAGTCTGTAGGGAGCGCAAGCATTTGGACCACGTTGGCACTTGAATGTTCTTTGTGTGACATTTACCTTCGTTATTCTGGATGTCTTGTCATTTGACTACATGATTAATAGAAGGGTTTGGAGAGAAAACTGCAAATGTGACTTCAGGGGTAGTGTGTTTCCAGTAGGCGTTTAAGGGACAATGAACTTAATACTTGAACTTTGTGTACCTTTTTCTAGGGAGCTGCCAGTTAAATCAGCTGCAAAATCCAGAGGGAAAAGTGAACTGGGTTATCCGTGTCTCAAAGGTACGGAGAAGTAGAGCAGCCCTATAAAACCCATCCTCTCTGCGTTTGATACAAGGAGATGATTTTACTTACGATTTCATTTAAAAGGTGTTACTTGCAGAAATTCACAGTTTGCTTTGCTTTATTTTTCTACAGGACTCAATTACTGGAATTGTCAAGTCTGCCAATTTATGTTCCCATTTCTCTTCCACCATGAGCAAACCTGTCATACTGTACATTTATCTGGTGTGTTCTAGCCTTCTGCTTGTGAACTTGGCCACACAATGTCTGGCTTTTCCCCAAAGAGAAAGGAGGGAGGCAGCACATGGTCCTGCAGAAACAGGGCAGCTGCAGGGGACGGACACAGATGACCTGGAAAATAGCTCCATCGCTTCCCAAAAGGCTGCCCAGCTAGTAGTTTCCAGAGACCCAGTGATGGTGTCAGAAGGCTTGCCAGCAACATCGTGGCCTCAAGTATTCTCCCTCAGTCATGATGCCCATCCCCCAGGAGCTGGGCTGCTGCATCCTAGCAGCTCTGGTGTTTATAGTGTTACTGAGCCAGAGATCCAGCCAGGTGAGGAAGTGTTTGCTTCCCGCCAGCCGGCAGAAGTGTCTCCTGGAAGCCTACCTTCCCAGGCCTCGTTACGCACTGCTGGTGTCCTGACGGATTCTCTGAAGCCTGATGAGAAGGAGGAGGAGCCCTTCGGTGCAACCCGCACTCAGCCCTCAGTGGAAGGGACCCCAGCAGCAAGGCCAGGTTTCCTTGACGACAAAGCAACTCAAAGTCTGCATGGACTTAGTCTGGATCGTTCCCCTTCGCTGCACAGACATACAGACATACAGACCACAGACATACAGACCACCCATCTGAGGACGGAGGAGTCTGAAGCAGATGATAGGATGGCTTCTTTTCCTCCTGTCACCTCTGCAGCAGGCACGGAGCCTGGAGGTCTCGTGCCGACAGCCGAGCATACTCAGGCTGCTGCCACCCAGCCCCTGCTCACAGCTTCCGAGGGCACCCCAAGTGTTGAGCCAGATGTTGACAGCCTACCAGGAGCCCTGCACGTCCCTGAGAGTGTCAGCACAGCTGCTCCAGCAGACTCTGTCTCCAGCGATGAGTGGGATGACACCAGGGGTGCAAGCCAGATAGGGACCCCCGAGCTGGGAGATGAGACAGAGACACAGGTGAGAGTGGGAGCATCTCAGACAGTGCAAGTAAGCCCCGGTCCCCTGGATGGGGGCTACCGTTTCACAGACACGACAGAGGAAGCTCAGGGGCTGCCTGGAAAGGAGACACGCGTGGGGACAGTACGTGGGGCTGAGAGATCTGCCTTCACTGGTTTGCCTTCCGTTATCCCCACAAGTCTGGTGGAGGATACAAAAGCACCTGCTGTGAACCTGTGGCAAAGTGCAGGAGACATTACGGAGGCCACCCGGGAAGATGGTGTGGTGCTTTCGTCACAGACCACTGCTTCGGTCTCAGAGTACGGGTCCCAGGCCCATCAGCCATCGCAAAATACCCTGAAAGGTAAAAGAAAAAAAAATGCTTTGTTTTGCTTCAAGTCTTTCAATTTATTTGTTTTTTTAAATAGCAATGTAGAAATAGGTTCTGTTTTAAGGAAAAGCAAAAGCATACAAATAAATCTTTTTTTTTTAACATAAAAATGATACTAGGTTATAACCCTTGCCTATAGATCTTCCACTGGGGCCAATTTTGTTCCTTCATCTCCCGAGGGGACACAGCAGTGCGTGGAGACACTGGCAGTTGCTATGGCTGAGAGGTGCTACCAGCAAGTGTGGGAAGAAGGATGCTGCACCTGTCACGCGGGACAGTCCTGCACAGCAGGGACTCGTTTGAGCCAACATTTTAGTAACAGCAAGGATAAGGAATCCTAATCATAGACTAACGTTTCCTCAAACATCTTCTTATGAAAATGTATAAAATGTAAGAGGCTTAGTTGTATAGTTAGATAGCTCAATGATATAGGACACACTTACTTACATTTATACTTTGTTGTAAACTACAGAGGAATCTTCAGTAAGCGCATGGAAAATGTATTTTATGAAAAATTACTCAAATATTTCAAGTGTTTTTTTTGTGTACATAACTGTTTTCATTCCATTTCCTCTTTTTTTTTTTTAACATTAAATTTTTATTGGAAAGTGAGATTTCCAGAGAGGAGAGGCAGAGAGAAAGATCTTCCATTTGCTGGTTCACTCCTTAAGTGGTTGCAATGGCCAGAGCTGAGCTGATCCAAAGTCAGGAGCCAGGAGCCTTCTTCTGGGTCTCCCACACAGGTGCAGGGTCCCAAGGCTTTGGGCCATCCTCCACTGCTTTCCCAGGCCACAAACAGGAAGCTGGATGGGAAGTGGAGCAGCTGGGATATGAACTGGCACCCATATGGGATCCCAGTGCATGCAAGGCAAGGACTTTAGCCACTAGGCTACTGCACTGGACCCCAATCCATTTTCTTTAAAAACCTTTTGAAACACCCTCAGATACATTTCTCCTGTTCCCAAAAATGCTTTAGGTATTTATCTCATTAGTATTAACCGTATGAATTCTCTGACTTTGTATTCGCAGAAAGAAGTCATCTAAAAATAAGGCAGGGTTGGGGGGGAGTGTCATCTGCTGGCTTGATTGTGTGTTTTCACTTTCTTTGGCCTTTATGTGTGTGAACATTGCAAGTTGCTGAGCCTTGTATCTTGTTGGTGGATGGTGTTTTCCTTTCATCGTGCCCGATCAGTCCAGTTGCAGCATAAGGAAAGCCTTGGTGTGATATGCGAATGCTCACTTCAAATCGTTTTGGACTGCGTACGGCGCTTCAGCCAAATAGCATCACTAATGAAAAATGTCAGGTTAATAATATGCTTCATACAAATGCTGTTGAGATTGAATTAAAATGATAAAGATTATTTCGTGACTGGTGGAGGAAGATTAGTTTTACGATACTGAAGCCTGGGAGCTTTGGTGTATTTAAAGTATTCGGGGAAGTTTCCAGAAAATGGCCGTCAGTTTTGTTCGGAATGGCGTAGGTCTGGGCCAGATGATCATGCAGGTGCCGATTGGAGGTGATGGAGCACACTTCCCGCAGCTCTCCGTACGAGAGAGGCGCTTGGAAGCGTGAGTCCTGTAGTCTCAGACCGCACACTTGACTCGTGGGTCTGGATGACAGACTCGTGTTAGCTTCTATTACTACAACTGAAAAAGTAAGATGTGTTTGGTAAACTTGGTTATTGTTTTGCTTATTGGATTTGCTCCTCGGTCATAATCGCCTCGCGTGACTGCCGCCAGTGGCTTGTTTTATTCCCTGCACATTACATCTGTGTTGTTTTACTTTTTCTCCATTGGAAAAGTTAGAGTGTTATTCTTAAAACTCCCACTGCTATTTCTAGTTCCCACTCTTTTTTTTTTGTCTCTCTTAACAGCAGTCACTTATTGATATTATATACTTGGGCATGTCTTACTACTTTATATAACCCTGAACAGAGACCTTATCAGTATTTTTACCTAATGATGCTCAGAAGCGTCCATTAGGCTTTAAGATGCAGGACAGCAATCTGCTGAACGTAATCAAACTGTTCTGTTGTGTTCTTGCGATAAACATGGCATTGCCCGGTGCTGGAGGCCTAGGAGGGCAGTGAGTCCTGGCTTCCAAGAGGTTTGCAACCTCATTGGAAAAAGGCAAACTGAAAAAGAAAAAGGAAAGAAAACGCAAAGGGTGTAAAGAGTAACGATGAAACCCACGCTAACATTGTCTGCCCTACAGCCAGGTGTGATCCAGCCAGGACACGTGCAATCTCTTGAATTCAGAGAGAAAAGGCAGTACAGATTGGATGTGTACCTGGCCAAAGCTGGGAGCCTGGAGTTGCATCTGAATCCTTCGTACAAATGGCGAGGACCCAAGGACTTGAGCTATCATTACTTGTCAGAGGATGCACTTGAGTGGGGAGCAGGATAGGAAGGGGAGCAGGGACTTGTTAGCAGGTGCTCCACTAGGCATGTTGGTGTCACAGTCCCTGCCTCTGGAGCCTTCCCTGTGATGGAATTTCCATGAAGCGATGTTGATCCCTGCCTCCCCTAACTACACGATACAATGAGATAATGCACACTGTGTGTGTGTGGCGCACAGTAGGAACTCAGTAAACATAATTTTTGCTATTGTCTTTGTGTTTCAAAATGCTAACATTGTGCTATGCTGCAGAACTGCATTTGTGAAAACTGACACGCACCCATGCTTCCGAGAGGTTTTGGGTGTGATTTCCTTCTGCCCAGCTTCCTCCTCCTCGGCAGACTGAAAGGGAGCTCAGGGGTTCATTTTTGTACTTTGGATTTTATTCTAGTTTTTTTGTTGTTGTTTTGTTTTGTTTTTTACATGAATGTTACCTCTGTCTGTGGCTGATTCATGGCTCCTGAAAGACACAGCAGTTATTTACTGGCATTTTCTTTCTGAGTTTCCCCTTTGCTTTTCTAATCCATGAAGTAGCCATCTGCTTTCATACATTATTAATTATGTATATAGTCTTTGAAAAGCTCATGGAAGAAGAAATTCTTGGATTTTGAATTTCCTTTACATTCACATGAATTTATTTTTTAATTCCATTTTTCTTTCTCCATGAACTTTTTGAAATACCCTCAGAGTGTGACTTTTTTAAAGTATTAGGAGTTTTGGTCTAAAATGTTTTCTCCCTTTAAGACATCATCTCCCCGGAGATGACAACAGATGCTCCAGAAGCAGAAGCCACTTTCTCCCTGGTGACACCAGGGCAGGGTCCTGGAGACAGCAAGGAGCCGGAGGAAGGACACGAGGCCACAGCGCCCACGTCTGATGTTGCTGGTGTCCCTGAGCTGTCCCTGGCCACCACCGGTCCAACTACAGTCTTGCCTGAGCTGTACCTGGCAACCACTGGTCCAACTACAGCCATGCCTGAGCTGCCCCTCGCCACCACTGGTCCAACAACAGCCATGCCTGAGCTGTCCCTGGCCACCACTGGTTCAACTACATCCATGCCTGAGCTGTCCCTGGCCACCACCGGTTCAACTACATCTGTGCCTGAGCTGTCCCTGGCCACCACCGGTCCAACTACAGCCAGGCCTTTGTCTATGCATGTGACTCCTGCTGTGGAAGGTCTGTAAGGGAGGGAGTGGTGCTTCAGTGTTTGGGGAGGGGAATGACCTTTTCTTGTTATTAAGGAAGAACGTGAGTGGGGCAGAAGTCTCTGCTGCCAGCCACACGTCCACCCTACCTGGACATGTGAGTGAACCATAGTGACCGGAATAGTCACTACCTTGCTGATGCACTTTTATAGAGGATGTTGGCTTCATTATCCTTTCTTTTTTGTTTTAAAAAATGTTTTGGGTTTTCATTGGAAAGGCAGGTTTACAGAGAGAAGGAGAGACCGAAAGAGAAGGATTTTCCACCCACTGGTTCACTCCCCAAGTGGCTGTAACGGCTAGACCTGAGCTGATCCAAAGCCAGGAACCGGGAGCCTCTTCTGGGTCTCTCATACGGATGCAGGGTCCCAGGGCTTTGAGCCATTCTCTGTTGCTTTCCCTGGCCATAAACAGTGAGCTGGAATGGAAGTGGAACAGCCAGGATACAAACTGGCACCCCTATGGAATGCTGGCGATTGTAGGTGGAGGATTAACCCGTTGGGCTGTCATGCCAGTCCCTAATCCTTTCTTGCCTACAAAGTGATTGGAAGTGTGTGTCTACATTCTCATCACGAGCCTCTTGTGTGTAAAGTCCTGTCTCTTCTTTTTGGCAGATCTGACAGACTTAGTCACAAGGCCTAATGAGGAATTCACCCCTGTTTTGGACTCTCCTGTGACAACATCAGGGATGATGGTGGGCACACCCAGCATTTTCCCCACTCTTCCTGCTCTGGTGGCATCCCTGGAGACAAGCACCGCAGCTCCACCTTCTAGCCGTGCTAATACGGCCGCCTCCTACGGTCTGGACCAACTGGAATCAGAAGGTATCCAAGTGTTGAAGGAGATCTTGCATTGGAATGGTTAAATGATTCACTGAGCAAATATTTTGAGAGAAAATTGAGGAGAAGTGGGTTTTCTCCACAGTGTGGGTGTCATTTGGGTAAATGGTGGCTAAGTCAGATTTGGCCTGCTACCTGGTACCTGACCTGTGTATACTAAACATGGTTTTGATATTTTTCAGTGATGGGAGACAATAAAAATGAAAATCATGTTCATATTTTGTGGCATGTTAAAGTTATACAAAATCTAAATTTCAGTGTTTATATGGAAAGCCGTGTTGGAACTCAGCCACGCTTGCCCATTTATGTGTCATATTTTGTAACATGCCTTTTGTCACAGCAGCAGAACTAGGGAGTTATGGCAGGGAGCAAAGGCCTGGGAAGCCTAGAACATTTATAGTATAACCCTTTCCAGAACTAGTCTGTTGATGCCTCCTGTAGATCAGTAGTCTGCACCTACAATTGACTCTACAATGATTTGGGAGAGCTTTTAAAACATAGCAGCGCTTGAGTCCATCTCCCAGTGATTCTAAGAAGTTGGCGAAGGGGTGGTGAGATCTGACATTAGAATTTTAACAGACTACTTTCAGTGATTTCAGTATTCATCGTGTTTGAGAGGTTAAGTTTCTCCATTGGACTCCCTTGGGTGGACTGTTAAACATAGATTTTGTTTTAGTCACCTGGCCTTAGTTGTCAGTGGTGGGTTACTCCCTTTGATATCATCACTGTGTTGGTATGTTCCATTGTTTGGAGATAAGCAGTCTCTCTCCCTGCCAAGACTAGGAAATTGATGCCACATTGTACATCTCAAGACATTGGCTTTGAACATGAAAAGTTAACTTATGGCACAGCTGCACATCAACAAAGAAGAAAAATAGGACTAGGGGTCCTGTGGTTGTGGAGTTGCTGTCATGAGCTTTTGGGCAGGTGAACAATTCCTAGCTGGAGGTGTAAAGGTCCACAGATTTGTAGTGCAGCTTGTTAGACTAATCTGGAATGCAGGTAAAGTTTTAGGCATTAAATCAGCTGTGTTTGATGCAGTGAGACATGGGGCGTGCTGTTACTTTAGGGTTTGTCTGTGCAACAGCAGGGAGGGTGGTTCAGCTAGGTTTGCTGCAGACTCTTGCAGACATCCGGGGTAGCGTTGGTATCTGCTAACAGAGAAACAGACGTTTAAGGAGCAGCATGGATAATTCTGCTGTAGAATGCTGGTTTAAGAAAGGGATCAGAGCAGGCTCGGCCTCCAACAGCTCCTGTACCACCTGAAGAGAAATACTGTGTGGCTTTGAATTTAGTGTATTCTCTTCAGTGTCTGCTTTCTTTGATGCCTTCTGGGAAAAGCAGGTTTCCCCAGATCCACTTGGTTTGGAGATGACAACTCTACCCAGCAGGGCTCAAGGAAAATTGTATTTACGAGTAGTTTATTCTTGTGGGATTGCAATAATTTTCTAAATTCAGTGGATGCTGGCAGTTTTGAAAAAATGATAACATTTTTCTTGTATGTGTAAGATATCCTAGGGCTTTACTTCTTTTTCTTCCAGGGGTTTCTGTTTCGGCTTCTTTTTAAGACTGTTTTGTCAGTTTTTGGCTTAGGTTATGCTGCTCCCTGTCAAGGCTTGTGAGAGACGTTTTTAAAAAAAGATTTATTTATTAGCATTGGAAAGGTAGATTTAGAGAGAGAATCAGAGACAGAAAGATCTTCCATCTGCTGGTTCATTCCTCAAAAGGGCTGCAATGGTTGGAGTTGAGCCCATCTGAAGCCAGGAGCCAGGGACTTCTTCAGGATCTCCTACATGGGTGCAGGGTCCCAAGGACTTGGGCCGTTCTCCGTTGCTTTCCTAGGTCACAAAGAGGGCGTTTGTTTGGAAGTGGAGCAGCCGGGACAGGAACTGGCTCCCACATGGGATGCTGTGCTTGGAGGTGGAGGATTAGTCAGTTGATCCATTGTGCAAGTCCCTTTTACGTTGTTCTCTTAAGTTTCTTTTTAAAGTGGTTTATTTATTTATTTGAAAGGCACAGTTACAGAGAAAGGGAGAGACTGAGGGAGAAGGAGTGAGTGCCCTTTCCTGTGCTGATTCATCTCCAATGGCTGCAACCAGGGCTGGGCCAGCCAAAGCCAGGAGCCCCGAACCTCAGCTGGGTCTCCCGCATGGGTGGTGGGGTCCCAAGCACTTGGACCATCTTCTGATGCTTTCTCAGGAGCGTTAGCAGGGAACTGGATTGAAAGTGTCGCAGCCTGGACTCCTGTCGGCTGCTCGTATCCCAGGTGGCAGTTCGTCCCACTGTACTGTTCTTATGTAGGTTTAATGTTGTCCTTCCCTCCACGGAGCAGGAGCATTCCTCAAGAAGATGAGGTATGTTCCTTGATACACTACGGAATAGGACATACCCTGTTTAGGAGAGAGACTCTGTGGAAATTTCCGAGTCCACTGTCCTGTTTACCCTTGGAGAGATAATTAATAGCCCATATCAGCCTACAGATCCCATCTGCTTGGCTCCCTGTCTGCCTGCCTTCCTTCTCTGCTTCTCTACTGCATGATGCTGAAGAAGTGTGTTACTGTCTACAGGACTTCCAGAGCGAAGTGTACAGACTGTGTTGCTGGAAACGCCTGTGCTCCCTCCCCAGGGTGGAGTGAGGCAGGGTCCTCCCCTGCTCTTTCCAGGCTTGGCTTGGCTTGTGTTTTGTGTGGCTAATCTCTTCACACACACCTGCCCTCCATGTCTATGTGCCCAGATTTCCGTCACCCATGATAACAGTCATTGGGTTCGGGCCCAGCCTAATGGCCTCATCTTAACTCGGTTACAGCTGCCAAGTCATCCCCAAGAATTGCTCATTAGGATGTAAACGTATCTTATTTCAGGCCACAGTTCAGAGTACGATAGGGGATCTGTTTTCCAGGAGTCTGCTGGCTGGCCTTGACAGCCACTGTACTCTCCCTGTGGACCCGTCCATGAGTAGGGGGAGTTGGGGGGTGGAGAAGTCAAGGTGTTTCTACACTTCATAGTTACTGACTTAAGCCTGTCTCTATCAGTGCACAACACCCTGTAAATATCTCAGTGAGTCTTGCCTGATCAGCAAAGTATGCTTTGCTTTTTGAAGGCAAACTGGTTTCTCTTCCACTTTGCCTGACACATTTTACTTCCGTGTATACATACATATATATGCATAAACACATTGAAGGATTGAGTGTCTTCAGGATGGCAACAAATGCATCACACTTATCTCAGGTATAGTTACAACAGATGCACTCAACGTTGCATGATGTTTACTTTTATTGAAAAGGCAGAGAGAGAGAGAGAGAGAGAAAGAGAGAGACAGAAACAGAGAGAGAGATTTTCCTCTCACTGATTAACTCCTGAAATATCTGCAACAGCAAAGATAGAGCCAGGCAAAATCTAGCAGCCCAGAACTCAGCCTGGGTCTCCCGTGTGTGTGGTATGGACCCAAGTTCTTGATCCATCATCTGCTGCCTTCCAAGGTGTGCATTAGGATAATGGTAAGTTGTATATATGCAATGTATCTGTCTTTTTGCAACTGTATAGCAACATGATATTTGGTATGATTTCCTTCTCTTGCTAAATATTAATATTCTCCCTTGCTCTAAAGTACTCTGGTAAAATTTCTGATCACTTTTGAAAGAACGATTGAAATTTTTGTTTGGGTTAACTGTTGCTAAAATATATTTTTTAAAGACTTTTTTTTTGTTGATTTGAAAGAGTGACAGAGAGAGAGAGAGGTTGTCCATCTGCTGATTGACTCCTCGATGGCCTCAGTGTTTCATGTAGGTGCAGAGGCCCAAGTACTCGCACTGCTTTCCCAGGCGCAGTAAGCAGGGAGCTAGATTGCAAGTGGAACCAATGGGCTCAATCTGTTGCTCATATGGGGTGACAGTAATAAGGCAGTGGCTTACCTCACTGTGCAATAAGGCTGGCCCTTAAAATATTTTCCAACATTAATATAAAATGGAATAGGACTTAAACTATTTGTTATTTCAAGTTCTGCTTTCTGTAAATGAGAAACCCAACTGAGAATATCTGTTTACTAAAATGGATGTGAACTTTACTTTTTTAGTGTATGTCCATGACAGATAGAAATTCATCTTGGCTGTCAAATTCTAACAGGCTATTGTGAGTCTGACTGTGCTGTGTGGTAGAGTTCTAAGAGTGTCTGGGGGATTGGGACAAGGAGTGCAAAGACAGACATGTCTCAGGTCTTGGGCTTCCTCCTTTGCACCCCCAGCACCTCCCTTAGTATTTGAAGTATCCAGTTCTTGCAGCCAGCTGGGATCTGGAAGCCACTTTATGCTTGCCTGGTGCTGCCTTGAGGTGGGGACACAGAGAATTGGATCTGCCTCCTTGGGATGACTCTAGAGACCTTGTGGAAAAGATGTCAGCCTCTGTCCTACAGAGAATTTAAATTTTGAAACTACCTGGTTCTAATTTAGCATCTTCCTGTGTGCATGATTTTTAAAAATTTTATTTTTGATGATGTTTACATAGATGATTAGGGTGGGAAGGGTCAAGGATTAGGGGAAAGTAGGTGAGATCATTGCTTCCAAATTTTCTTTTTCTTCTGTATTGAGGGGAAGGTAGGAGATAAGGGGAGAAGCTGCATCCAGCCTCCCAATTGTCTCAGTACCCAGGGATGGGGGATGGCCACCTGATGTCATCTTAGGGTCCCCAATGTGGAGCATGCTCCAAGAGTTCTGCTCAAGTGGTTCGGTAGTTCTGAAATGATGTTGATCTCAGCGATCCAAGGATGAGCAAGTCCTTCCAAGGCCCATTGGCTGACATAGTCTACCTTAGAGTCTCCGTTCGCCCAGATACTTGCTGTCAACACTTGGCTGAGGCAGTTGACCAATTTGTTCTGCTCTCCTTCCTCTGCTATAGTACCAGATGTCCTCTGCAGGCCCCAATGGACTGCCATGTCCTCCATGTGCATCTGGGCATGCTGTCCACTGCTCCATCTTAGCCACTGAGGATGC